GAGCGTGTTACTTCCGGGTTTCGCCGCTCGCGCATGCGCAAACGGTCAAAATGATGTCACGCGCATGCGCGAAAGCAGCAAATCACTACCCGCGCAGGCGCGCAGATGCAGGTGACGTTCACTTCAGGATGCGAACGGGGCTCCAGAACGGATCCCATTCGCATCCAGAGGTACCACTGTATTAAAGTGTTGTAAACAAAATCTGCCCTTTCCCCCTTATGGGGTACCCAGAAGCCCATATAGAGTCCTTAAGTGGGTTCCCTATCGGTAGGAGAAAATAACAGAGGCCAACCAGAGAACACTGAGAAGCAAAGCCTGATCTTTATTGAACTTCTGCAACAGGGTCCTCACTCACCCCATGCAGGAAGGACTCTGAACAATGGTGCACACAGCCTTATATAAACTTTTAAATTGACCCACCCTGCAGCCCATTTCCTCCCCCCCATACATCATACATACATCACAGAAGAGGCGTCTACAGCAGAATCCTGTCTGGCAAGAAACCTGTTGATGGGTTTACCTGGCTGTTAATGGGTTTACCTGGAGAGCCTGGCCATCCTTTTGTGATGATAAATACTTAATTCCTGAGTCCAGGTCACAGGCTCCACCATATTCATGCGCCCTTAAGGCAGGATTTGTGAGCAAAGAGACAATGGGGAGGTTTTTTCCATTTCCTTTCTCTTTGCAGAGAAAAAAATTGAGGTCAATTTGGGAGAGTTAAAATGGTTCCAGGACTATTTTCCTGTACTGCTTCAGTGGTTTATATATTTATGTATGTGCTTGCCTTGTAAATTTATGAACATTTAATTTATATATTTGTGTAATGGGAATTGGGGTTGCTCGTGCGTAAAGGGTGCTGATTCTCTAGGCAACGTTGCCTGGCTAAACCTTTCCCTGGCTGGACAGCCCTTTCTCCATGGCTGTGTCACTCACTGGCAGAATCCGTTAGTGGGCATTTCCTGAATTTCCTCCAACATAAAAATTCCTTGACGCCAAGTCTCCGCCTAGCCTCTCTGCGCGGAAGTCTTCTGCGCAGAGTGGGCGTGGCCAGCGGAGGTCCTGGACTCTCCCCGCTGGTCTCAGTGGAAGAGTCTTGGAGCCCTCTCTCCGAAGTTCTTCCCTGCTCCCCTTCCTCCCAGGTGTCACGCTGATTACCTTCCCCAAATGAAGTGTTCTCTCCTCCCTCTGCTGGTCCCTTCTCTTGCATCACTGGGGAGCCTTACCTCCACTCTAGGCTCCGATGGCAGTTCCCTGACAATTTGAGACCTTAAATTCTTATAACAAAAGTACAGTGGTACCTCGGGTTACAGATGCTCCAGGTTACAGACGCTGCTGACCCAGAAATAGTACCTTGGGTTAAGAACTTTCTGCAGGATGAGAACAGAAATTGTGCTCCGGCAGCGCGGCGGCAGTGGGAGGCCCCATTAGCTAAAGTGGTGCTTCAGATTAAGAACAGTTTCAGGTTAAGAACAGACCTCCCGGAACGAATTAAGTTCTTAACCCAAGGTAAAGGTAAAGGGACCCCTGACCTTTAGGTCCAGTTGTGGCTGACTCTGGGGTTGTGGCACTCATCTCGCTTTATAGGCCGACGGAGCTGGTGTACAGCTTCTGGGTCATGTGGCCAGCATGACTAAGCTGCTTCTGGCGAACCAGAGCAGTGCCCGGAAACGCCATTTACCTTCCTGCCAGACCTATTCCTGCTGTACCTATTTATCTACTTGCACTTTGACATGCTTTTGAACTGCTGGGTTGGCAGGAGCAGGGACCAAGCAACGGGAGCTTACCCTGTCACGGGGATTCAAACCACCAACCTTCTGATCAGCAAGCCCTAGTCTCTGTGGTTTAACCCACAGCGCCACACCCGTCCACTGTATTAAAGCCAGGCACCTCCTTCCCCAAACCCGGGAAGCTTCTGCTCAGCTTAGGGAGGGAGGTGTGATGCTCATGAGCACGATGTTGGGACATCGCGATGTCGCTCCCCCAATCACCCTCTCAAGCTGGCACCTCTGTCCCTAACTGTTCCCCTGTGAAAAATGTCACTGAGGACTGCTGTGCTGAGAGTTGCCTTTCAGTGGCTCAAAAGTTTTCTTTCACGTCAGAAGAGGCTTCAGTTTGCAGTGTTATGTTTATAATGATGGGAAGGGTTTTTCCCCCCCCTCCAGCATGCGGCGTGTACCCCCCCCCTTTGTTCACACACAGTGTCTCCTCAAAGCACCACATAACGCACGACACCACACAACTCCCAACGTTGTTCTGCTCAGGGAAAAGATGGCTACCGAAGGGGGGGGGCTTGGGAAACTGGTAAAAGACAGCCGTGATCCCCGAAACCTGGGATCAGCCTCTTGCATAAGAGATAATCGCTGGCATCCTGGCAAATAGGTGCAAAAACAGGCAATCATCCTGTGGACAGTAGCAAACCATCCAGGAATGGATGAGGTTCTTGGTCAGGACAAAGAGGTGTGATCAACCAGGAACTTGTCAATATTTATTTTGTCTTACTTGATGGGTGTGAGGTGGAGGTCGAGGGAATTGTTGTTTAGTCGTGTCCACCTCTTCATGACCCCCTGGACCAGAGCATGCCAGGCACTCCTGTCTTCCACTGCCTCCCGCAGTTTGGTCAAACTCATGCTGGTAGCTTCGAGAACACTGTCCAACCATCTCATCCTCTGTCGTCCCCTTCTCCTTGTGCCCTCCATCTTTCCCAACATCAGGGTCTTTTCCAGGGAGTCTTCTCTTCTCATGAGGTGGCCAAAGTCTTGGAGCCTCAGCTTCAGGATCTGTCCTTCCAGTGAGCACTCAGGGCTGATTTCCTCCAGAATGGAGAGGTTTGATCTTCTTGCAGTCCATGGGACTCTCAAGAGTCTCCTCCAACACCATAATTCAAAAGCATCAATTCTTTGGCGATCAGCCTTCTTGATGGTCCAGCTCTCACTTCCATACATCACTACTGGGAAAACCAGGATGGGGGCAAACCTGATGTTCAGGTTTTTGTCACCAGACCCTCCCAATTTGTGATGTATTTGTTATGCATGGTGTAATTTTAGGGGTGTTGTGGATATCTTTGTGAAACTGATGAAAGTGGGAGCCATCCTTTGTTCTGGGCTCCTTCCTGCTTCTCCCATGCGGTGGGTGGAAGTTCTGTTGCAACAGTCCTTCAAAATAAAGACCAGGCCTGCTGGCTGCTGTTTTGCTCCTATACTCCTGGCTGGTGTCTTTGTTTGGTAATCCAAGGATTTTCCTATAATAGCAGCATGCTTCACAATTTCTCCGCCGTTTCATCTTGATGGCAGGAGTTGCCTCACCGTGACATCTTCCCCTGGCTTTTAACTGGAGTACAGTGGTACCTTGGTTCTCAAACTCCTCGATAGTCCAAAACCAGCTGAAGACTCAAGATTGGGAAACCCTGCTATAGGCAGTGAGTTATTAGCCATGAGTAGAGCCTCCAGTTTCTGAGGCAGTCTCCCTTACCAACTTTTGAGGAGCAATAGTGGAGAAAAGCATCACCCCCTGCCCTTGTGGGATTCCTGGCCACCCTAGGAAATGAGGATCTCGGGCTGGCTGGGATTCCTTTGGCCTGATCCAGCGAGGCTTTCTCACGTTCCTCATTAAAGGCTTCGTTCACAGGCACACTTGGTGGGGTGGCGAGAGAGGGCCTCCTCGGTGGTGGCTTCTCCCAGGCAACTTTGGAACTCCCTGCCTAGGGAAGCCAGACTGGCTCCCTCCTTGCTGTTGTCCCACCAAGTGAAGACCTTCCTGTTCCAACAGGCTTTGGGGAACTGACTGCTTTTAAGGAAAGAGCTGGTGCTGTTTTTTATTGTAATTATTGGTCGTTTTCCCCATGTCATTATTATTATCTTCATTGCAAAACACAAACAGACAAAAACAATACCACAATGACAACTAAACGTTAATTGGCTACACATCATCTAACATCACACATATTTGAGAAGCACCTCATTGTGCTTCTAAATATTGTTATTTACGCACTTCTTATTATATCTTATATATCAGGAACAATTTTCACGTTTATAATTCTCTTTAATATTCAACATTCAATCTACACCTGTCAGGAGATTTGCATTTTCACAGTATTGTCTTAAATATTCTTTAAATATTGTCCATTCTTTGCTCACTTTCTGATTTGAGTTTTCTCTTATTCTCCCCGTCATTTTAGCAAGTTCCAGGTATTCTATCATCTTTAATTGCCAGTCGAGTCTTGTAGGAATTAAGTCACCTTTCCCATTTTTTGCTACCAGAATTCTGGCCGTCGTGGTTGCATACATAAAGATGGTTCTAAAGTTTTTTGGGATTTCAGTGGACATAATGCCTAACAGAAAGGCTTCTGTTTGTTTGTTTGTTTGTTTGTTTGTTTTTTGAAAGGATACAATAAAAAGGAAAGAATCCTTTTTATTCTAATTATTGGCACTATTTAGTGGGAAGAAACTCCCATGAAAATCCTCATTGTTGCACTTTTTACATGGTTGTTTATTTGTATATATTTTAAAATTTTATATATGGATGTTTTATGATGGCCTATACTTGAAATGCTTAATAAAGGTTTGGCGAAGTAAGTAAGTAAGTAAGTAAGTATGGTTTTAATAGATTTTCTTTTTTTCTTTTATTTACATTTTTATTAGTTTTTTAACATATCATTTCCAACATTCATTTAACATAACTTCTTATCTTATACAATATTTTAGACTTCGGTCAACAACCTCTGAAGATTTTTCGTTCTTTATCACTTGTTCTGCATTTCTTAATTTCTCTGTGACTTTTAATTGTCATTAACTAATCATTCTCGTCATGGTTTTAATAGATTTTTCACATATGTATGCTTAATTTTTTTAACGATTCCCCACCTGTAAGCCGCCTTGAATCTTTGCCAGGCAAAAAGGTGGGGCAATAATAATAATAATAATAATAATAATAATAATAATAATAATAATAATGTGTGTTGTTTTGATGCCTGGCATAAAATCCCCTCTTGTTCCCCATCCCAGGGATCAATGCTCAGGCCCGGAAACTCCAGCGCAACCGCACCAAGGGCGCCATGACGCTTCTGACGGGGTGCAAGAGCCACGCCACGCAGACCTCCCTCCGCCGCACCGTCAGCGAGACCAGCCTCAGCCAGGCGGGCAGCGCCAGCGCCGAAGGAGGGCAGCAGGAGGAGCAGCTGAGGAGGCACTACTCCACGCTGCCCGAGACCCTTCAGTGCCTGGAGAGCGGCAGAGATGCGCAGACGGCGCCCGCCGGGGACCAGAGTGGCAACAGCCTGCGCTACTCGCTGTACCAGTCTCCGCACCTGCTGCTCCTGCAGGGCTACAGCCAGCAACACGTAAGCAGGCGAGACACACCTTTGCTAGGCTCTGCGGCATTTAGGTATACCGCTTTATATATAGTGGACCCTCTGGGTACAAATTTAATTGGTTCTGGGGGTCTGTGCGCACACCGAAAAATCTGTATTCAGATGCGCTGTTTCTGCGCATACGCATGGCACGATAGAGTGCTTCTGCGCATGCGTGAGCGGTGAAGCCTGAAAAAATACTTCCAGGTTTGCCATTTTTGCAACCCGAAGTTTACGTTACTCGAGAGTAATATAACCCAAGGGTCTACTGTGTGTGTGTGTGTGTGTGTGTGTGTGTGTGTAGATATAGATATATATTCATCTCCACCAAGCTAAGCAGTTGGCTCCTTACCTCTCTCGCCCTGACTTAGTCACTGTGATCCATGCGACTGTCACTTCCAGACTTGATTGTAACTCACTCTACGTGGGGCTGCCCTTGAGACTGACCCAGAAACTCCAGCGGGTGCAGAATGCTGCAGCGAGACTCCTTACGGGGTCCTCGTCGCGGGATCACATTCACCCAGTGCTATACCAGTTGCACTGGCTCCCGGTGGAGTAGAGGGTCAGGTTTAAGGTGCTGGTTTTGACCTTTAAAGCCCTATACGGCCTAGGACCCTTGTACCTACAGGACCGCCTCTGCTGGTATGTCCCATGAAGGACCTTACGGTCTTCAAACAAAAACATCTTGGAGAGGTCCCGGGCCACAGGGAAGTTAGGCTGGCCTCATCCAGAGCCAGGGCTTTTTCGGCCGTGGCCCCGATCTGGTGAAACGCTCTGTCGCAAGAGACTAGGACCTTGTGGGACTTGACATCTTTCCGCAGGGCCTGCAAGACAGAGCTGTTCCGCCTGGCCTTTGGCCAAGGCACAGTCTGACCCCCTCCTTCTGTAATCCTCGTAGAACTCTAGCTCAATGGTTGCCATGAATTTGATTCTGAATTGATTTTAGAATGAATTGATTTTAGAATGCTGTGTTACTTTATTGTTGTTAGCCTCTCTGAGCCCGGCTTCAGCTGGGGAGGGTGGGCTATAAATAAAATATTATTATTATATATATTTGTAAGTGGTGCGCAGAAAAAAACTGAAGCAACAGCAGGCAACTTAATCCATAACACTTTTTGCAAAATCAAAGTTGCTGTCATTATTACTACAGTCGAACCTCAGGTTATGGTGGGGGTCCGTTCCTGAGGCCCCGCCGCAACCCAAAAATGATGCAATGCAAAGTGTTGCGTCTGCGCATGTGCACGATTTAGTGTTTCTGTGCGTGTGCGAACAGCGTGAACCCGAAGTAACTCGTTCTGGTACTTCCGGGTTTGCGCCGGTCTCAATCCGAGGGTGACATAAGCTGGAGGCAACATAACCCGAGGCTCCACTGTATTTATCAAGTTTTGTACAACCGTCCTTCATGCAAAGATCTCAGGGCGATTCACAATGTAAAAATACAGAACGAAACCTCCAAATGCACAATAAGAACAAGGCAAAACCAATAACCCACAAACACATGTAAGAGGACCCATGCGTTAGCAGCGAGTAAGGCAGATTTCTGTCTTACATGACAGCACCCTTGAATTCGGGAGGGTTGGGGCCATGGGATCGGCTACAGATCTGTTGCCAGGTCCTTTCTCCACAAAGAGGCAGGGGGTGCACAAGTTTAGGGTCCTCAGATTTTTCAATTCATTCATTTATTCATTATTATTTTTTGATAATATTTATTACTTTTCCAACCACTTAAACACTACAAAAAAAAGAACAATACAATACAACACAAAAACACTACATAATGCTAACACATTAAGCTAACAAAACAGAACAAAAACAGTTTAAAACACATCAAACATTTTCAATATCTTGTCTTTCATTCACTTATTTCAACGACCTCCTCACACCTCCCTTTTTGTATTCCACTTCTGTTAATTGTTTCAGCAATTCCTTTCCATCTTCCTCTGTTTTCTATCCTATAATTATCTTAACACGTTCTAACCTTATTTTTCATTTAATATTCTATTAATCTATTTATACTTAATTCCTTATAACATTTCTACTAAAGCCATATAACTTCATTCCAACATTCTTCTAACATTCATTAATTTTACAATATTTCTGTAAATAGTCTTTAAACTTTTTCCAATCTTCTTCCACCGACTCTTCTCCCTGGTCTCAGATTTTGCCAGTCATTTCTGCCACAATTCATTCATTTATTCAATTGATATCCTCACTGCCTCCTGAATTGGGGAGTTCCACAGTTAACACTGCGCTGCGTGGAGGATTTCTTTTTATCCGTTCCAAATCTTCCAACTCTCAGCTTCATTGGATCCCCATTCAAAGCACATCCTTTCCCTCAAAGAATTCTGGGGGCTGTAGTTCACCCCTGAAAACAAAACGGTCAGTATCCTGACGGCATTATATAAATCTCTGGTGCATGCTGTGTATGGTTCCGGTTACCACGCATCAAAAATATTTTACAGAGCTGGAAAAGGCTCAGAAAAGGACTATTGGAAGGAGCAGGTCCCTTTCGAAGAAAGCTTGCAACGTTTGGGGCTTTCTAGTTCAGAGGAAAGGTGAGCGAGAGGAAACATGAGAAGAGATGTATAAAATTATGCCAAGTGTACAGAAAGTGCAGAGGGAGTTTTTCTCCTTCTCTTGTTACACTAGAATTCTGGGAGATCCGATGAAGCCAAATGCTGGGTGATTCTGGACAGGCAAAAGGAAGCCCTTCTTCATGTAACACAGAGTTAGACTGTGGAACTCCCTCCCACTTGAAGCAGGGATGGATGGCCATCAACTTAGATGGCTTTAAAAGAAGACAAATTCACAGAGTGGCAGATCAAGTTGATGGATTATGCCGAAATGGCTAAAATGGCCAGAAGAATCGGAAATCTGGAAGACCAAGATTTTAATAAGGAATGGGGGAAATGTATAACTTATCTTAAAGACCATTGTAAGCAGTTAAAATCGTTAGTAGGATTGGAATAAACCTTGTAGTTTAATGGTGAATTTTGGATACAGTGGAGAGATAAAAGATTTGGAATTATATTATAAAAGATGCAGGAGGAAATGATTAACAAGAGGACCCACAAAGGGGAGGAGAAAAGTCCAGGAGATTTTTGGAATCTTGTGTTTATGTTGTATGTTGAATATGTGACTGTCAAATTTTAATCTGAAAAAGCAAATATACACACACACACACACACACACAGAGAGAGAGAGAGAGAGAGAGAGAGAGAGAGAGAGAAGAGAACAGAAAGCAGCCAGGTCAGCATGGAAGCTGCTCCCTGGTCTCTGGTCTCCAGTGACTCGGTAGGGAACGGAAGGCTCTCTGCACATCCTCAGAGGCACCCTCTCCTTGCTTGCAGTAGGGTTGAGCCTTGTCATTTGGAAGGAGCTCAGGGAACAGATTGATACTGAGTCCATCAAGGTGGGCCTGATCCAGCAGGCTCTTCTGACATTCTTAGGTTCCATCCTTGGCATCTCAGCACCTGAAACCTTGGAGAGCCATTGACCGCCAGTGAAGACAATATGGAGACAGTTGCTCCTTCATGGACTCAGCATCAAACTATTTCTTGGTGCTTGTTCCCCTGCAAAAAATGGAAACAGGTGACTATTATTAGGAAAAGGGAAACCTCGAAATGATATATAATGAGGACCCACAAAAGGGAGAAGTCCAGGAGATTTTTGGAACCTTGTGTTTATGTTGTATGTTGAATACGTGACTGTCAAATCTTAATCTGAAAAACCAAATAAATACATTAAAAAGAAAACAGGGTGCTGGCCCAGATGGGTCATTGAGATGTACCATTGACGGTGGAATATAAATGGAAAAAAGGTAAAGGTAAAGGGACCCCTGACTATTAGGTCCAGTCGTGGCCGACTCTGGTACAGCTTCCGGGTCATGTGGCCAGCATGACTAAGCCGCTTCTGGCGAACCAGAGCAGCGCACGGAAATGCCATTTACCTTCCTGCCGGAGCAGTGCCTATTTATCTACTTGCACTTTGATGTGCTTTCGAACTGCTAGGTTGGCAGGAGCAGGGACCAAGCAACGGGAGCTCACCCCATCGCGGGGATTCGAACGGCCGACCTTCTGATCGGCAAGCCCTAGGCTCTGTGGTTTAACCCACAGTGCCACCCGCGCCCCATAAATGGAATAGAATCATAGAATTTTAGAGTTGGACCTCAAGAGCCATCTAGTCCAACCCCACTTAGTGCAGGAAGGAAGGAAAATATTGAATAAACATCTTTCTCTGTGTATGTTTGTGGTTTTCTCTGTGCAGGACAGCTTGGTCTATTTGCTGAATCGCGACCAGCACACCGTCGGCCAAAGGACTCAAGCCAGCAAGCCCAGCATCAGCCTCTCGGCTCCGGACATCCTCCCCCTCCATTGCACCATCCGGAAGGTCAAGGCGTCCGGCCGCTCAAGCCACCGCCCAGAGGAGAAGCTGGTCCTGGAGCCCATCGCCGGAGCGGCCGTCTCCATCAACTTCTCCGAGGTGAGCAGGACGGTGGCTCTCCACCACGGCGACCTCATCTCCCTCGGCCTCTACTACCTGCTTCTCTACAAGGACCCCGTGAAGACGCAGCCGCTGCCCGCCCAGACCCTCATGAGGCTGAAGGCCGCGCGCCGAGCCTCCGAGCCTGAGCTGCCCTCCACCTGCAAGGTCTGCGGCAGCCAGGCGAGGGACAAGGGCTCGTCGGCCAAGAAGGTGCCCGCGCCGCAGGGACCCTCTGGGCGGAGGGGAGGCCGCCGGAAGCTGCAGCTAGAGTTTGACAAGGCCAGCGAGGACCTGCTGCTGCGGAGGATCGTCACACTCATCGAGCCCACCAGCGATGACCACAAGCTGGCTCCCGCCTTCCTCCTGTGCCTCTGCGTCCAGCACTCGGCCGGCCACTTCGGGCCCGGGGAGTTTGGCCATCTCCTCCTCAAGTTGGCCAAGATGATACAGAGGACCGTGTGGGTCAGTATATATTGGATATACAGTCATACCTTGGGATAAATATGCTTCAGGATAAGTATTTTCGGGTTGTGCTCCGCGGTAACTTCCAAGTTTCACCGCTCACGCATGCGCAGATGGTCAAAATGATGTCACGCACATGCGCGGAAGCGGCAAAATGCGACCTGCGCAGACGCAGTCTTACGTTCTATTCAGGGTGTGAACGGGGCTCCGGAACGGATCCCATTCACATCCCGAGGTACCACTGTATTGTGGGATGTGATACATAAGTAGCAGTCAAGTACAACATTCCTCGTTTTCCTAGACTGGACATGCAAGGGGATGTTTGGTCCAGCCAGTCGGAACTTCCTGTTTCCTCCTGGACTGAGACATACTTTCTCTGGCATGTGACTAGAGGTGGCCATGGCCTTACCTGTCCAGGTAACAAAAGCACAAGACACATAGCCCTCCTCCCTCCTTCTCCATCTTCCTTTCATCGTGTGAACTGCAGTTACTGCCAGTCTGCAGTCACTCGGATTAACCCCCCATATGGGTAGACCCACATGTATATACTTTGTAACTAAGTCTGCCTTCAGGGATCCAACTGTGAACTGATGATGTGAGTAAACTTCTTTTATATACTTTACACAAGATTGTGTAAGAAAGGATCTTACCAGGAATCTATATTGAGAAGCTTAAACAAGCCTGCAACCAGCTACCCACTGTGCGTTCAAAGGGGGATGTTAAAACTCTGCTCAGTTATAGAACTTGCTAGCGCGAGTTAGGAAGGATATTAATAAACAGGATATCTTCTCCTGCCTCCCTGAACATTCCCACATATATAATTGAATCTCTTTCCTTCTTTCGGTCAAGGAGAACAGGGCCTTTTTAGTGGTGGCTCCCTGTTTGTGGAATGCTCTCCTCTGAGAGGCTCACCTGGCACCATCATTGCATGTCCTCTTTAACCAGGCCTGAAGATACGTTGTCCTTCTGGAAACGATGCCTTATGAGGAACGGCTAAGGGAGCTGGGCATGTTTAGCCTGGAGAAGAGGAAGTTAAGGGGTGATATGATAGCCATGTTCAAATATATAAAAGGATGTCATATAGAGGAGGGAGAAAGGTTGTTTTCTGCTGCTCCAGAGAAGCGGACACGGAGCAATGGATCCAAACTACAAGAAAGAAGATTCCACCTAAACATTAGGAAGAACTTCCTGACAGTAAGAGCTGTTCGACAGTGGAATTTGCTGCCAAGGAGTGTGGTGGAGTCTCCTCCTTTGGAGGTCTTTAAGCAGAGGCTTGACAACCATATGTCAGGAGTGCTCTGATGGTGTTTCCTGCTTGGCAGGGGGTTGGACTCGATGGCCCTTGTGCTCTATTCCAACTCTATGATTCTATGATTCTGCAAATCTCTGGGTTTCCGTGCTGTGAATGAACACTCACTACCGGGGTGGGGGTGGGGGAGGGATGGGGAGTTTATTGTGAGAAAACATGGCTAGCAAGCAAAATTGGGACTGGCTGTGCAGATCTGGGCACTTTCTCATCTTCACAGTGTCAGTGATATTTCATTCCCTTTCCCTTTCTTTCTTTGTTTCCTTCCTCGATTCCAGGAGAAAACAAACGAACTAGCCGAGAAACAGTCGCAACAGTAAGTCTTCTGCATCCAGGATTTCCGCTTTTTTCTGCGAAAAGTTGCTTCCAAATGAATGTGCATATAGGTTTTGGTTTGCATGCCGCCCAAACCAAGCTCTGTGTCATCCTGGGGAATGAGGAAGACGCCTTCAAAATATAGCATGCAAATGCATTATATAACAAGCAGTATTTATCTCAAAGGCCGTCTCCTAATGAATGCAAAGCCTATTCAATTGCAAAGCAAATGATAAAAGGACCTGGTTCTCACAGTACAGCAAGCCATGGTTTATTCGTGCTTTGTGTGAATGCCTAAACCTAGCCAGCAGACTAGCCTTGTTTTGTTTTCTGGAGAGAAATTGTGGCGCGATGTGATCGGTTGTTGCTGTTCTCGTTGTTTTTGCTAATTATGCACAGCCTGGAGAAAATGGAGAGAGATCTTTTCTTTTTCTTACCACTAGAACTATTGGACATGTACTGAAGCCAGATTGGAAGATTCTGGGTGCATAAAGGAAAGTTTCCTTTTATCTATCCCGAATCTTCTGACATTCAGCTCCAGCTCCCAAGAGATAGCCTTTAATAGGAACATTTCTTAATTCAATTTGTTTCTGCGGTTGCATAACCATTCGGGACAGAAATACAACCTCGGTTTTCGAGCGTCTCGGAAGCAGAATGATTCAGAAGCCGAAAACCGGGAAGTAATTGCTTCCGTTTTCGAATGCGCCTCGGAAGTCGAATCGCTTCTGCTGTGTGTTCTTCCATTTTTTCAATGGATTTTGCCAACCGCCCATTGATCCCTGGTTTTCGAACGTTTCGGAAGCCGAACGGTCTTTCGGAACGGATTATGTTCGAAAACAGAGGTTACAGTGTACTTCCTCCAAGAGAGGGAATGAAAAAGGGCTTGTGTCCAGATCTGCTTCCTGACATGTGTATTCTGCTATTCTGCTCAAGTGCAGAAAGGCCTCGGAGACCCCAGAGGGATTTGGGATTTAGCATCCACTTAAACCCCTAGGAGAACCTTTGAACGTCACCCAAAGGCATCATTCTGCCTGCCGGTCGCAGGAACCAATGTCACAAACCTGTGTCCCCTTCCCTCCAATACCTGGCCACACACAACATACAAGGCCACCTCCTGTGATTCCTAACTCAAACCCTAGAGTCCCTGATACTTGTCTATCTGTTTGTTTATTGCATTTATTTATTGCATTTATAAGGGACACGGGTGGCACTGTGGGTTAAACCACAGAGCCTAGTGCTTGCCGATCAGAAGGTCGGCGCTTTGAATCCCTGCAACGGGGTGAGCTCCCATTGCTCGGTCCCTGCTCCTGCCAACCTAGCAGTTCGAAAGCACCTCAAAGTGCAAGTAGATAAATAGGTACTGCTGTGGTGGGAAGGTAAACGGCATTTCCGTGTGCTGCTCTGGTTCGCCAGAAGTGGCTTAGTCATGCTGGCCACATGACCCGGAAGCTGTACGCCGGCTCCCTCGGACAATAAAGGGAGATGAGCGCCGCAACCCCAGAGTCGGCCACGACTGGACCTAATGGTCAGGGGTCCCTTTACTTTTATTGCATTTATCCCACCCTTTTCTCCAGGGAGCTCAAGGTGACCCCAACCTCATTTAATCCCCACAACAGCCCTGTGAGGTGGGCTAGGCTGAGAGGCAGTAACCAGCAGTAACCAGCCGTGCTTCACGGCTGAGCACGGCTAACTGCTACACCACGCTGCCTCTTACACTGCAAATTTTGCTTCAGTTGCATAATCCACCTGGGTTGCAGAATGCTGCTTGCCTTGGCACGGAATTAGGGTTGACCGCCTTACAGAAGCCCGATCACTTCTTGCGGTTGTTCAGCTCGATGCTGACAAACGGAGTGTGGAAAGGACAAATGTCTCCGGCCTTTTTCCGTCTCCTTTTCTTTGTGTTTATTGTCGCCTTATCTTGTTTGCACAGCAACTCGGTTGCATTCCTCCTCCGATTCCTTAACAACCCGGGAAGGCATCTGATGAGAGAAGGAGGGGACTTGATTAAGACAATCCATTCAGACAGGGTTGAATTATTATTGCGGCAATCTATATATAAAGCAAAAACAAAAAGCAGCGCTTCGGTGCAAGGGGAAGAATGAAACCAGATCCAGATTTCCTTGTCCTCTTTAGATAATTGGAACAGTCTTAATATAAGGGAGCAGAGCTGGTGTGTGCAGTCTCTCTCTGGAGCCTATCATTTTGGTGAAATGATCCCAGATGATTTTATTTATTCTTTTGGAATAAACAACCAATCTTGGCGCCTGGAGACGGGAGAGACTGTAAGGAAATGCTGGTGGGAAGAAGAGGGGCATATCCTTCTGAAAAAGAAGGCTGTTTCTCAGGAAGCTGGGGTTTAGCAGAGCCATGTGGTGCAGTGGTTAGTGCAGCCTACACCAACATCTGGCACTCTCCAGATGTTTTGGACTATAGTTCTCAAGTGCCCCAAATTTTCCCCAGGAACCTCAGGCGGAATAGCCAAAACCCTTCCACGTTGTTCCACGTCCTACTTGTGCGATTTCAACTTCATGTGCTTGGCAGCTGGCCGGCTGAACTCGCCCAAATTAAATGCAGAGAGCTTAAAAGCTCTTTTGGGGCAGCTTTCTCCCTAAGCTCTCTGCCTTGCTTCCCGGGCTCCTGGGAGGCTCCTGTGAGATCTTGCGAGGGTCTCTCAGAGCCTGGTGAGCAAAGTAGAGGTTCAAAGATATGTTTGGAGAGGGGTGGTGTTGTGCTTGTGCGCGAACTGCGTCCCTGTAGCTCTGCCGGGATGCCTCTCAACTCTGCGCTTGTCTCGTCAGCCAGGATCCTGCGTCTCTCTCCCGCTTCACCATCAAAGACCTGCTGCCCGACTTGCAGCACGTCCTTTTCTGGATGTCAAACTCCATCGAAATCCTCTACTTTGTCCAGCAGAAATCCCCGGTTTACATCCAGAGCATGGAAGAGGAGCTGGACATGAAAGGTGTTTTTATTACGCTTTTAGATTGGTTGGAGTGGGTGGGGTCAGGGCTGGATTGAGGTGTGATGAGGCCCTAAGCTACTGGAGGTAATGGGGCCCTTTATATGTCCAGCTGTCCTTTGTCAACAACGCGGGTGGCGCTGTGGGTAAAACCTCAGCGCCTAGGACTTGCCAATCGCATGGTCAGCGGTTTGAATCCCCGCGGTGGGGTGATCTCCTGTTGTTCAGTCCCAGCTCCTGCCCACCTAGCAGTTCGAAAGCATGTCAAAGTGCAAGTAGATAAATAGGTACCGCTTTATAGTGGGAAGGTAAACGGCGTTTCCGCGTGCTGCGCTGGTGCTGGCTTGCCAGCTGCAGCTTCGTCACGCTGGCCACGTGACCCAGAAGTGTCTTCGGACAGTGCCGGCTCACGGCCTCTAGAGCGAAATGAGCACGTAACCCTAGAGTCGGACACGACTGGCCCATACGGGCAGGGGTACCTTTACCTTTTACTTTTGTCAACAACAAATTGTCGCTGTTTTTTGTGTTGAATATATGCTAGTATATGGTAATTTATGGACCTAATAGGTATCTCAAGCCATTTGCACATGTTACTCCCCTTCCTCCTCCTGGACATCTAGTTTTCTGTGGGGTGGTGGGGTTGGTATGGAGGGCCTCTAAGCCACCTAAGTCCCAACGGGAAGCCTGCTGTGACTCAGCCCTGACATGGGTGGGCAAGAATCAGGCTTCTTGATTCGCTCCCTCTGAAGATGAGCAGGAAGGGCTTCCAATGGCAGCCGAGTATGTGCAGCTCAAATGAGTTTTACAGGTCCAGAGTGACACCCATGGGAGCCTTTTATCAGGGTGGGGGGCAGAAGTTGGACGGGGCTGTTGCCTTCCTGCCTGGTTGGAAAGAAGGGGTGCTTTTGGCTGGCTGGACAGGCTCTCTCTCCATTTCTGCAACTCTTGTTACCCGAAGGAGGCCATAAGCCCGGTCGGTTTAAAAGGATAGCAAACTTCACTGAGTTATTTCACATACACAGAGTCGTGGGAGTCTCTCCATCTTCACATTTGTGGAGTTGGCCGTGTGGCTCTTTCTGTGCCAGCTTGGAACCCCTTCGCATTCTCTGTCTTTTTCTGGCGCATTAACCTAATGCGATTTTAAAAAAATGATATTTAAATTAATTGCTTTATGGAATTATTAAGCGTGTTCACCTCTCTGGGTTCCTGCAGCACAAGGGGCGGTTTGCAAACGTGAACAATAAATAAACACATTAAGGTTTTGGCCTCTGAATGCGAGGCTTTTTGGGAAAAGCTGCAGAGGTGCCTTTTCTCAAGAGGCAAACGCTCAGCCCCAAATGTTGGGCTCAGCCCTCCTCCTTCTTTCTTTTTCCTGTCTCCCTTTTAGGATCTAAGGAATCTCTCATTTCCCTGACCATCACTGCCAGCGAAGAAGCCATGACGGTCCTTGAGGAAGTCATTATGTATACCTTCCAGCAGTGTGTCTATTACATCTCCAAGGTAATTATATCTCCCTGCCGCTTCCAGGGAGCTGTAAGGCTGAGGTAGGTCCAAAGACTGGAAAATCCCCCCATATTTATTTTATTTATTTGATGAAATGTCTGTGCCGCTCCAGCGTAGAAATCCTCAAAGCAGTCTACGAAAAGAATAAAACAGTAAGGTTATTAGTCAGACCAGTTAAAACATTTGAACATTAAAAACCAGCAATAAGCTAAAACACACACCAGCATTCTCTTCTTCTTGTCGTTGTTATTGTTATTATTTATTATTATTATAATTATTAAATTTGTATCCATCCTATACCAGTCGATCTCAGGGTGGTTCACAACACAAAATTACAATATAAAAAATACGTAACACATTCTAGGTATCTGGGTAAAGGTAAAGGGATCCCTGACCACTAGGTCCAGTCGTGGACGACTCTGGGGTTGCGATGCTCATCTCACTTTACTGGCCGAGGGAGCCGGCGTTTGTCCACGGACAGTTTTTCCGGGTCATGTGGCCAGCATGATTAAGCCGCTTCTGGCGAACCAGAGCAGCGCATGGAAACACCATTTACCTTCCTGCCGGAGCAGTACCTATTTATCTACTTGCACTTTGACGTGCTTTCGAACTGCTAGGTTGGCAGGAGCAGGGACTGAGCAACGGGAGCTCACCCCGTCGCGGGGATTCGAACCGCCGACCTTCCGATCGGCAAGTCCTAGGCTCTGTGAAAAGGTTTCTTTAGCAGGTGGCGGAGAAAAGACAGCGAAGGTTGCCACTGCTTGGGTGTCCATCGGCGGGGAGTTCCAAAGTGAGTAGGTGCCGCCAGTCTAAAAGATCAGACTCCTTACAGCTGAGGAAGGGGTATTATATGGGTCAGTTCCTCAGATTGAAGTGGTCAAGAGGGTATGCATGGGGCAAGGCAGGGAGACTGGCTTGTGGTAGACGGAAGGATGGACATTTCTGAATGCAAGGCAACCCCGCCCCCTGCAAGCAGAAATCAAGCCTGTCAGGGAGAAGGTTAATGTTGATATTTGCCTGTCGTGTGAAAGTGGCCCTTTTAGCTGCCAAACCAACCTTTCTGTGGATGAAGAAAATGAGGTCCATGTATCACGCTCTTTACCCAATGTCGCAGTGGAGGGGGGGGGGTCCTCGCTCTAGACCTCCCCAGGAGCACCCAAGATTGCTTATTTAGCTCAAATCATTCCCCAGCTGCAGTCAGAGGCACAGACTCTCTCAGCCATTGCAGAGCTCATTCTGCCCCCACCCCCATGCAGAGAAATGGCTGTGTCTCCAGGCCTGGTCTCACATGGCTGGCACCGCGCAAAGAGAAAGTGTCTCCTTGCAGATGCAGCCCTGCGCATCCTCACTGCACCACAGGCACAGCCAGCCGTGCATGGCAGTGACAACCGTCGCTGGCTGTGGTGATGTCACGGGAAGAAGGGGAGAGGGAGGGAGATCAGATCGGAGGGGGGCAACTTCCAGCAGCGAAGACATGATACACCTGAAGACATGATGCAATACATACGCTTTTGGGTAGACATCGAGAAGTCAGCAAAACAGAGGGCTTGTCTTTTTAATCTCCTGTTTGCAAACTGTAGGGACGCGGGTGGTGCTGTGGTCTAAACCACTGAGCCTCTTGGGCTTGCAGATCAGAAGGTTGGTGGTTCGAATCCCCGCGAAAGAGTGAGCTCCCGTTGCTCAGTCCCAGCTCCTGCCAACCTAGCAGTTCGAATGCACACCAAAAGTGCAAGTACAGTGGTACCTCGGGTTAAGTACTTAATTCGTTCTGGAGTTACGTTCTTAACCTGAAACTGTTCTTAACCTGAAGCACCATTTTAGCTAATGGGGCCTCCCGCTGCCGCCGCGGCACCGCAGCGCGATTTCTGTTCTCATCCTGAAGCAAAGTTCTTAACCCACGGTACTATTTCTGGGTTAGTGGAGTCTGTATGTAACCCAAGGTACCACTGTAGATTAATAAGGTACCGTTCCAGCGGGAAGGTGTGAAATTTGAAGTGTAAGTTCCTCAAAGGCAGGGGACTCCTCGCTCTGCCCACCTGCCTGCTTGCTCCTTTGCAAAGCTCCGAGTACCCAGGTTGCAACGTTCTCGTCTCTAGCGCCAGGCGTCTGGCTGAGAGGAACCTCTCGCGAAATGAGTCAGGTCTCGCAGCCTGGAAGGCCAGAGAAATGAGCACTTTAACCGGAAGGGCGGGGAAACACTTTCCGAGACGCTATATTTGGAGGGGTGACTCTGCCTTTCACCAGTTCTGGCGTGCATTCAGCAAGCCTCCAGGTTGGAAAGCTGCCTGTTCTTTCCCTTCTCAGCTTTTCCTGGTGTCCTTCCCACTCTCAGCTTAATTTTTATTATTATTATTATGAATAAAGCAAGAAAAGTGACTCAAGGGGAAAATGCCACGCAGGGTTAACAAAACCCTCAATAGTACACTCCACGCTGGTGCAATAAAAATAGAAGGATATGACTATTGATTTCAAGCCCAGAATAAAACGAAAACCCACGACTGTTGTGGGTTGAGATGATTCTTAAAGAGGAATAATATGCTATGGTATTGAATTAACCAAATTCCATTGATTGGCAGAGGGAGGGGACAAACTGTTTTCCTCTTTATTGACATGTGTTAACACAATCACGCCAGACAGCTGCAAACTTCTCGTTCTTTCCATCTTGGCGATTGGTCCAATATTCCAGCCGTCTCCATATCTGCCTGCCCTGCCCTCTCTCACTGCAGACTTCATTAATGCCAGGCCACTGGCACATATAAAAAAATGCATTTCTGAAAATTAAAAATGTATTAAATATATGGCGCAGCAATAAAACTGCTAGCATATTTGCAAAGCTAAGCAGGGTCCAGTATGCTTTCGAATTGGAAGGGGATCCATGTTTCGAGATTCCTGTATTGCAGAATCCCTTCCAGCTCTACAATTATATGATTCCAGTCCTGATTTACTGCCTACTCTGCAATACTTTTCTATGTATACTGGGCCTCGGCCCAGTAGACCTGAAGGAGCGTCTCCACCCCCATCGTTCTGCCCGGACACTGAGGTCCAGCACCAAGGGCCTTCTGGCGGTTCCCTCATTGTGAGAAGCAAAGCTACAGGAAACCAGGCAGAGGGCCTTCTCGGTAGTGGCACCCACCCTGTGGAACGCCCTTCCATCAGATGTCAAAGCGATAAACAACTACCTGGCATTCAGAAGACATCTTAAGGCAGTCCTGTTCAGGGAAGTTTTTAATGTGTGACATTTTAGTGTATTTTTGCTCTCTGTGGAAGCTGCCCAGGGTGGCTGGGGAAACCCAGCCAGATGGGCGGGGTACAAATAATAAATTATTATTATTATTATTATTATTATTATTATTATTATTATTATTAGTGAGGCTTTTCATAGTATCATGGAATTGTTGAGTTGGAAGGGACCTCGAGGGTCATCTAGCCCAACCCCTGGCAACCTGAGCGCATCTTAGTTTAATCTGTGTGCCACCCAATTATTATTATTATTTTAATTTCGGAAATGCAACTTTCCCAAAATGCCAGATTTGCACAAAAGAGCTGTCAAAAGCAAAAGTTTGAAAAAGGTGTGTGTTTGTTGGTCCAAGCCAGGAATCCTGAGGCCTGTTGTGGGTTCAGACGCAAACTCATGTTGGTCAAACTCATGTTGGTAGCTTTGAGAACACTGTCCCACCATCTCGTCCTCTGCCGTCCCCTTCTCCTTGTGCCCTCCATCTTTCCCAACATCAGGGTCTTTTCCAGGGAGTCTTCTCTTCTCATGAGGTAGCCAAAGTACTGGAGCCTCAGCTTCAGGATCTGTCCTTCCAGTGAGCACTCAGGGCTGATTTCCTTAAGAATGGAGAGGTTTGATCTTCTTGCAGTCCATGGGACTCTCAAGAGTCTCCTCCAACGCCATAATTCAAAAAGATAAATAGATACACACACATGAATATCTAGATAAATAGATACACACACACACACACACACACACAAGCTGCAATGCTTCCCCAGCGCTATGCGGGACCAAAGTGGGTCACTCGTCCCCTCCTCAGAACATTCGGTGTGAGAAGTTCAGAGCTGAGCCACCCTTTCTCTCTCCCCATCCCTGTCCAGTCTCTGTACGTGTCTTTGCCGCCCTTGTTGGACTGCAACCCCTTCCAGAGCGAAGGGCGAGAGGGCTGGCTCTCTTCCCCGCCTCTTCCCGAGGAGATACGCAAAGTGGTGTCGTCCTACCAGGCCAGTTTGGACCTCCTCCGCCAGTATGAGGTGCACCTCGAAATCAGCTCCCAGATGTTTGCCTACCTGTTCTTCTTCTCCAACACGCTCCTCTTCAACCAGCTGATGGAAAAAGGTGAGTGGTGGGAGGAGCTTCCAGGTGGGAGGTGTGGGGTGTGAAACACAGGGCAGTCAAATGCAACATTCCTAAAGTGGACATGTTTAGACATGAAGAGGGATGCTTGTCCAGCCAGTAAATAAACTTCCTGTTTCCTCCTGGGTTGGGACAAACTTCCTCTACAGGTGAGCAGAGGTGGGTGTGACCTTACCTGTGCAGGCAACAAAATAGCACAGGGCAGGCAGCCATCTCTCTCTCTCTCTTACTCCATTCCTTGAAGAAGCAATATCTCCTTGGCTTGAGATGCTCTCTTGGTTTCCAGCTAAGAGAGGACAAAGGAACTATTTCTTTATGGGATAGATTCCACGTGTATATACAGTGGACGCTCGGGTCGCAAACGTGATCCGTGCGGGATGCACGTTTTCAACCCGCAGCGTTCGCAACCCGCAGTGGTGCGTCTGTGCATGTGTGGGTTGCGATTCGGCACTTCTGCGCATGTGCAAAGCATGATTTAGCGCTTCTGCGCATGCGCGACCGCCCAAACCCGGAAGTAATGCTTTCCAGTACTTCCGGATTTCGCCCGTCCATAACCTGAAGAAACGCAACCTGAAGCGACTGTAACCCGAGGTATGACTGTATTTTGTAACTTAACTCTGCCTTCTGGGATCCATTTGTGAACAGAACGTGTGAGTAAACTCTTTTATACTTTTATACAAGACTGTGTCGTGTCTATTCTTTTTAGGCGGGAATAAAAGGGGAATTACCAGGAAACTTATTTTAGAGGCTTATGCAAGCCTGGCAAACCTATCTGCTGCGTAAGTTTAAAAGGGGGGGGGGTTTACTCTGCTAAATCATAGAACTTGTTAACACAAGTCAGGAAGGATATAATTAAACAATATATCCTCTCCTGCCTCCCTGAACATTCCCACAGGAGGACTAAGGATGCCAGCAAGAGATCATCATCCTCATTTTATTTGTATGCCGCCTTTCCATAGTTAAAACAATGCTCAAGGCGGCTTGGTCTGGAGACGGGGATCTGGAGAGAGATTTAATTCTATCAAGGTTTAATTGTTTCTTAATTATTGTTCCCCCCCACACACCCTCTGTTTTTAGCTGTCAGGGAAAAGGAGGGATACAAATTAATTAATTAATCAATTAATAAATAACTCAATAATTAAATGAAATAAATTCTAAGAAGTGCTTGTAAATTTTTTGAAATGGAAAAACCTGGCAGAAATGAGGATCTTAAGAGCATCAGGGGGTCAGCTGGGCGATCTGACAATGCACATCCGAAGCTGGTGATCCTTCCATGACCTTCCTCTTCTTCTCCTCCTCTTCCTCTTCCTCCCCAGGCTCCTCCTTGGGCTGCTTCCATTGGTCGAAAGGCGTGAGAGTCCGTGCCACCCTTCGGCTGCTCCTGGAATGGGCACAGCGTGTGGGCTTTGGGCAGCTGGCAGACGAGTTCTTTGGCAAGCTCTCCAGCGTGGCCAGCCTCTTGGCCATGCCAAACTCCCAGCTGGCGCAGGTGAGGAGTCCTTGGCCTCAAAGGGGCATGTCCAGTTGGGCAGTCCAGCAGGGGGAGTTTTATGTGCCCACGGCCACTGTCTCGTGAGTAGGGTTGCCAAGTCCCCAGGGGCTGACCCAAAGTCTCCAGGCTTGTCTGCTTACCACTTGCAGGTGGCAGGATGGACGGAGGGGGCTTGACTCTCCAGCTGGGCGAGGGCGCCTTAAAAAAATAACTTAATCGAGAAGGCTGCCTGCAGCTTGCAAGCTTCAGCCCAGCAGGAGCTGGATGCAGATTATTGTATGGCCTCAAACGGGGCAGAAGTGTCCTGCCCTCCTCACCTCTCCCAATTAACTTCCATCTCTTATTGCATAGTCTTTCTGGGGGTAATGCTCTCCTCCCCTCCCTCTCCCTCTCTCCCAATTAACCTCTATCCCTGGAAATTATTGCATAACCTTTCTGGGGCGTAATGCTCTCCTCCCCTCCCTCTTCCCTTCTCCCAATTAACCTCTATCTCTGCAAATTATTGCATAACCTTTCTGGGTGGTAATGCTCTCCTCCCCTCCCCCTCCCCCTCAGTGGAGCAGGTGTGGTGGGGCAGGAGGAGGAGGTGTGGAAGGCCTTGACCAGGCATAGGCAAACTCTGCCCTCCAGATGTTTTGAGACTACAATTCCCATCATCCTTGACCGCTGGTCCTGTTAGCTAGGGATTATGGGAGTTGTAGTACCAAAACATCTGGAGGGCAGAGTTTGCCTATGCCTGGCCTTGACTCTCCACCATCCCAACCCATCTCTCCTTCCTCTGGCACCTGTTCTTTGCTCTCCAATCTTGCAGCATCTCCTGCCTCTGAGCCTCGTCTTCCAGGCTCTCCCAGATCACTGATCCTTTCCTCCAAGACAGTCTCCAACCCCACTTCTCCCGGTGCCCGCTCAACAGTCTCTGGCCACCACCTCTCAGTGTCCAGCCAGTCCCCTAGGTCTCAGGTCTGGTCTCTGAAATCTCAGCGTCTAAGATCCTCACAATCCCGTGATGTTGGCAGCGCACGTCTGAGGGTGGCACCAGCTGCCCAGTGATGGCCGCGGGGAGCCACCCAGTGAGCATCCCTCTGCAACACATCACCCGTCCCTCTCTTGATTTGCTCAGATGACCTGGCCTGTGCTGAGAGCCGAATTCCCTGCCCTCAATCCTGCCCAGCTGCACCACATCCTCACCCAGTACCAGGCCTCGTCCGACATGGGCTGTGTACCAGCCTGGCAGCCCAGTAAGGAGGATAGCCTGGCAGCCTTCAGGACAGGTAAGATCAGGCACGGCCGGGTTGCCCAGTGAGGGATTCTGTCAATGGGGGAATCACAGAAGGGGAGAGTCAGAAGGGGCAATGGGGGAAATGCTTAAAGAAACAATGTGTATGCCATGGGTAGGCAACCTAAGGTCCAGGGGCCGGATGCGGCCCAATCACCTTCTAAATCCGGCCCACAGATGGTCCGGGAATCAGCGTGTTTTTACATGTGTAGAATGCATCCTTTTATTTAAAATGCATCTCTGGGTTATTTGTGGGGCCTGCCTGTTGTTTTAACATGAGTAGAATGTGTGCTTTTATTTAAAATGCTTCTCTGGGTTATTTGTGGGGCATAGGAATTCATTCTTCCCCCCAAAAAATATAGTCCGGCCCCCCACAAGGTCTGAGGGACAGTGGACTGGTCCTCTGCTGAAAAGTATGCAGTTCAAATGTCCCCATTTCTAATTATGGAATGTTAGAACGATGTTGATTTAGAAATTAAGGGGTTTTCAGCTGTAATGATTAGGTAAATAAGAAAAGAAAGGTTAAAAATTATATAGAAATTAGGGGAGGGATTTGCTGATTCGATTTAATTAGAGATTGGAATACAGAAAGGGGAGGTATGAGGAGGTCGGGAAAATAGGTTTTAGGAATATAAGGGATCGAAATTATATTTGTTGTAGTGTGTATTTTGTATGTATGTATTTTTGTTTTTTCTGTATTTTTCTTTTTTCTATTTTATATAAATCTTTAAAAAACCTTAATAAATATCTTTTTTTAAAAAAATCAAATGTCCCCATTTCTCTGCCACTGAAAATGAAATGGGCCGGACTTCAGTGCTGAGTGGATGCCCACCCCTCGTCACCAATTACATTCCTGCCTTGATGGGGGCTGGACTAGATGACCCTCCGTGTCCCTACAATTCTACGAATCCCTGACACCCCCCAAGCAGGGCTGGGAAGTCCCCTTTCTGAAACCCTCTGCCAGTCTTTCAAAATACGCAAACACTACAGGAAAGAAAATCTCAAGTTGAGCGAGGACCCAATGCAGCCCTAACCGTGCTTGGTGGGAGGGGGGCACAGATTACTGGCTGATTCTTGTGGGAACGGGGAACGGAACGGAGCGCTCTGGGAAAGGTCGTCACAGCAGAGACCTTGAACGGGAGCACTTACTGCAACATTTTGCTGCGGGTCCCAGGCGTAGCTTCATATTTCATAGGTGAAAGTCATTTTGCAGGGCTGACCAATCCGCTTGGCTCGCTCCCCTGCTTCCCCCCCCCCCAGTGCACGTTTTGATTAATGGGAGGCGTTTGAGGAGCACATTGCTCAGAGAGAGGCGAGTGCCGCATGCGGTCTTCGCACCGTTTGCGCACAAGGGAAACGGCACCAGCCACAGCCTTTGCATGCGCTCTTGTCTCGGAGTACGTTCCCCACAGAGCTTTTAGGGCTTTTAGAGGCTGCAGAAATATCACGGTGGAAACAAGCATTCCCCACCAGGAAAGGCAACCTTTTAAATCAACATTTGGGGAATGATTTTGTGTCAAGTACCCAAAGCGATCGGCAGAGAAGCCTCATCAGTGCCAAAGCAATTAGACTGAAAGATGGAGACAGGGCGGCCGATTTCTGCTTCCTTGGCTGGTTTAGGCAGGGCTGGAAAGTTGTTCTCCCATCCCATGCCAACGGTGAGTGTGTGGTAGCACCCCTCCAAACAGCACAGAGGATTCTGGGGCACATAATAATAATAATAATAATAATAATAATAATAATAATAATTTATTTATAGCCCACCCTCCCCAGCCAAAGCTGGGCTCAGAGCGGCTAACAACAATAAAGAAACACAGCATTCTAAAAATCAGTTCATTCTAAAATCAATTCAGGATCAAATTAATGGCAACCATTGGGCTAGAGTTCTATGAGGATTACAGAAGGAGAGAGGGGTCAGACTGTGCTTTGGCCAAAGGCCAGGCGGAACAGCTCTGTCTTGCAGGCCCTGAGGAAAGTTGTCAAGTCCCGCAGGGCCCTAGTCTCTTGTGGCAGAGCGTTCCACCAAGTCGGAGCCAGTACTGAAAAGGCCCTGGCCCTAGTTGAGACCAATCTAACCACCTTGCGGCTTGGGACCTCCAAAGTGTTGTTATTTGTGGACCTTAAAGTCCTCCGCGGGGCATACCAGGAGAGGCGGTCTCCTGGTATGCCCCGCGGATAAAGGTAAAGGGACCCCTGACCATTAAGTCAAGTTGTGACCAACTCTGGGGTTGAGGCGCTCATCTTGCTTCACTGGCTGAGGGAGCCGGTGTAAAAGCTTCTGGGTCATGTGGCCAGCATGACTAAGCCACTTCTGGCGAACCAGAGCAGCACACGGAAACACTGTTTACCTTCCTGCCGGAGCGGTACCTATTTATCTACTTGCACTTTGAGGTGCTTTCGAACTGCTAGGTTGGCAGAAGCAGGGACTGAGCAACGGGAGCTCACCGTGTCTCAGGGATTTGAACCGCCGACCTTCTGATCGGCAAGTCCTAGGCTCTGTGGTTTAGACCACAGCGCCACCCACATCCCTTAAAGGTTAAAACCAGCACCTTAAACCTGACCCTGTACTCCACCAGTGCAGCTGGTATAGCACTGGATGAATGTGATCCTGCGGCGAGGACCCTGTAAGGAGTCTCACCGTGGCATTCTGCACCCGCTGGAGTTTCTGGGTCTGTCTCAAGGGCAGCCCCATGCAGAGTGAGTTACAATAATCCAGTTTGGAGGTGACTGTTGCATGGATCACGGGGGGGGGGGCTGTTTTTTCTGGTTGCATCACAAAAACCCAAAACTCACACATTTGCTTCCTCCACAACGGGCTTTAGATGACATCCTGGAGTCTTTCGACAGCCACCCGCCAATCATGCTGCCCAGTGGCGGGTTCAAGGTGGACCTGGAGGCTGAACACCTGGACGACAACATTTACCAGCACTTCCTCTACATCCGCCACTTCCTGTGGAGCCTGCGCAGCAAAAGCCCCCACCCCAGTGACTCGCCCGAAGCGGAGACCCCCAAGGTAAAACTCTTTTGCCTTTCCAGAATCTTGAGGGTTTGATCTCACATCTTTGAGATATAAGAAGGGCCGTCGCACGCAGTTGTCACAAGCTGGGTATGTTTAGCTTGAAGAAGAGGAGACCAAGAGGTGGCCATGATAGCCACCTAAAATATCTGAAGGGCTGTCAAGTGGAAAATGGAACAAGCTTGTTTTCTGCTGCGCCAGAGAGCAGGACTTGAACCCGTGGCTTCAAGTTACAAGGAAGGAGATTCCGACTCAACATCAGGAAGAACTTTTAGAGAGTAAGAGCTGGTGGCCGCTCCCAGTCACCAGTCTGGCTGCCGCATTCTGGATTAGTTGTAGTTTCTGCGTCACCTTCAAAGGTAGTCCCACGTAGAGCGCGTTGCAGTAGTCCAAGCAAGAGATAACCAGCGCATGTACCACTCTGGCAAGATAGTCCACAGGCAGATATTTCATTTTGCGATTTTCATTTTGGAACTGGGCTCCCAGGTAATACGCAGTTGCACCATATTTATGTCAAACAAAGCCACTTTAAGTATTGCTTTGACATGTATGGAGCCACTGGCACATGCTAGCTCATCCTGAACTTGGAGGAGAAGCAGGAAGGAAGTAAAGCTCAAAAGGAAGTAGTCTACTTTACCGACAAGGAGCTTGT